TGGGATAAACAGGTCTAATCGCACCAATTTGACGCCAGTATACGGAGTTTATTACTGTTGATTGAAAGCAACGAATTGTGCAATGCTAAAGGGAGCCAGTGGTGAGGGGCACATGTAGTCAGCTCATCTAGGATGGTCTTACAAAACTACTATTTTTTGGGTCATCTCACTGACGCATGGGCAAGTTGACCATATAGAATTATTTTGACCACTGGATAAGCCTAGGAGACATTCCAAAATTTGGCTAAACTCTAGACTCGAGAGAAGTAGAAGGAACGTAAGCGTATTGCTCAACGAAGAAAAGAAGCGCCCTTGACGTAATGGAGACTGTCTGCAACATTAGGAGACCTCTGTGCAAGTGAAATATCTGGATTTATCAGTGAGTGACGAGCAGGACTAGCTTCCAGTTGATTAAGTTGCAGAGCAGGATTCTGCCAGCTGGAAGATTCGATGAGTTCAAAGTAATGCCAGAGGACAGGAAAGCCATCGATGACCAGCGAATACCCATGTATTTGCACCTAATCAATCTTCCTAGATGCCACAGAGCGCCCAGTAGCGACACTTTTGATGAGTATGGGCTGAAAATACTTGCCGCCATGGACAGTGCTCGGACTGTTCAACAAGAGAGAATGATAGTAGCCGCATTAAGGACCTGTCAAGACTTGAAGCAACTCGGTGAACGCTGACAGCGGATTGCTTCTAGTTATACGTCTCATACAACATGCAATCTGGCTGCAAAGAATTTCAATCTCTTCCTCGGAAGTTGCGTGAAGTCCCTCTGAGTCCAAAAGAGAACTATGAGTCGTCTCTTCGTTACCGGATGCTTCTTGCCTAGATCTATCATGAGTCAGTCTCTCAGAAACGAGCCGATATGCACGCTCCAGGGTTTTCTCCTGCTATGTTAGACAATAACTTGGGGCAATAGTAGCTTCGGCGGGAAGAAACAACGGCGTGATTGAGACGTGAAGTAGAAAGGGACGCAAGAACAAGTCTCGTCCATTAATTTCCTCCGAATAAACTGTCCAGGGATCAGAGTTCGGCTCCGCTGTACAACTGTCGAAGGTTGAGCTGGGATCAGTGGATTTCCTGGCTTGCCATGCCGGGATTTCAAGGAGAAAGTCCACATTTTCCACGTACCACGACCGTCGACCTGGCCATCCTATGCCTGACATGTAACTGCCTGGTTTACCTACTATCGTTGACCGCTAGTCCAGGCAGGTGAATCATGAACGTTGCAGCAACAGCACCTACCACTGAGTGGGTGCGAGAATCGCTCAGCTCAGCCTGTGCAGGCGTTATGGGAAGCATATGATTAAATACGTCTTGTCGAGAGACTCGCGATAATACACTTTCATGATGCTCATCAATCCATTTCGCCCAGACAGTATCATCTTTAGGAAGACGCAATGAACGGAAACCATGTGCTCTTCCTGTTCGAGCTACCCGCAGATACGAATATCTACGAATAGTTTAAAAAGATAACGTCTTATTATTGCCATGTGGTAAGGTTATTATTATGCTGTCAACTACTCGGTATTTTTCATAGAGAATGTCGTACTCCGTAATCACAAAGTGGAAAGCCACAGCCACAACCCACCATAGTTTCAGGACTCTGAAAATAAGTGTTTGTGATTTGTACTACTACTTCAGTAAAGGTACATGCCTACTTGACAGACTGGACTTCTTAACCAGAATAATAGACAACCCCTTTATCATTCATCAGTGTAATCACCTCATCTGTAGGTGCTCTATACAGAGTCATTATGAGTCCCCTCAACGGTTGACCCTCTGGTATGGAGTAAATCACAAACCATACTAAAATCTGGGGACACCCCAAGAAAATCACACAGGCAACCCTGGATCAAGTCACTTTCACAGCCCAATGGTCTTTAAGGTACCATTTAGTGTGCCTATGTAGTGTTATTAATATTCCCATATTGCAAACATAGAATAGTTATCTACCAAACGTAGCTAGGTACTTCATACATACCCTTAGTTGCAGTACCCATGTGGCTTACCAATTGATAAATTTTCACTTTTGAGTGTAATAATTTCCCGCATCAATGCCTTGGTAACAAGCTTCCATTGCTCCATTTGCATTTGGTCTTCCGAAGAAGCTTAACCTTGTTAGGCTAGCCCCGGATTCGGTTGGTGGAACGAGAGTCAGCACGAGCCATTCATTACCTTACTAGGTACCTTACTACCTAGGTACCAAGAATGACGGTATCAAAGGTAAAGTGGCTAGTTGGACTTGACCAGGTATGGACGCGGAGCAGGGCAAGTCGGATCCGTTATCACCAAAAACATACTGTTTTGCCGAGCAACTTGCGTGTCTGCCGCATGCATGTTGCATACTCTAGAGTGCAGACAGGTTAGGTTGATTGGTATTTCAACGTCGTCACTTGTCAAGCATATCTCAGCTCCAGTGTCCTGTCAGACGAGGGGTAGGCATATACTTGAGTCATTTTTCAATCAATGCCGTCCACAGGTTCCTACGTAGCGTACACCATTGGCGGATGAGCGAATTATGAACGCCAATCACTAATAGTGGATGCTCTTGCATTATCGACCCTGCAGCTTCTATACGAGACTTGAGATACAACAAGTCGCCTGAGCTGCAGTGCAGTGGCTAAAATGGGATACCTTTCCTGGGATCGCTGCAGATGCTTCTGCACTTCCTCTTTGAATTTTGCTGATCCCAGCAAGGCTACTATTAATACGAGGGATTATCAGAACCTATCAGCATGTACAAAGCAATTGTATCTTGCTGATCTTAAAGGTAGACGGACCATTTCACAATGATGAGCTGTCGTTTGGATTTGCATAACGCATGTTCCTTAATTCTCTTCTCTTGCAGTAAGAATAGAGATCTAATCTGGGATTATCCACTTCCCCTCAGCAAGCTGTGTCTAACAGATTCATTCTTGACTGCATTTCAACGACGTGCTCATAACTTCCTTGGTTCACCTGAGTGAGCCCTAGCACTTCTATCTTGGCTTCATATGGTCTCTCTCGGAAGGTTCCATGCCTGGTGGAGCTCAACATGTCGCCGCTATACAATGTTCTGAGATGGCAACTGAATAACCGGAAGGACTGTTCTTCAGGTCAATTGGCGTGGGCTATTGTCATTGAACCGCAAATTAGCGAGCAGTCCTCGACAATGGGGCGCGACTATTTCCAGACCCTTTGAATCCGATCATCGGTGATGCTCGAAAGACACAAGGCGGTCGACAAGTGCATGCAACAACAGATAGCAAACGTAAGGTCAAATCGACCATGGGAAGGGTATGGGTTGTCGCCGCAGCAATGAAACACCAACTGCCGGCTGGAGCTTTATATACAACTCCCCGGCCGGTAGTGATGATGGTGATTGGATAGATGGTTTCAATTTCATGCTGCGGTAGCCCCTGGAAGAGAAGGGTTCCTGTCCGCCTGGGCTCCATTATGCTCGCAAGTTGTGATCTATTCAAGGGGCGTGTTCAATTGCAGAGACGGAGGCGCAAACTCCGACCTGGCATTACACGTAAGCCTGTCAATGCGATCGATGCATGACTAGATATTCCGATCCGTGAGTATGACAACGACAAGTTGATAGCTCTGATCAAGTTCAATGATGGGTAAGGCGTTCCAGCATCATAAAATGGTTAAATATATGGGTTTTTGCCGGTCTATCCATCGGGTGTTCGGTCTCTAGGATAGGACTCGGGTCTATAGATGGGTAAGACAAGGTTTCAAAGAGAATATGGGAGCCTCGCGTCTGTTCAATGACTGAAAGGCTGACGGTACTTACCACAAATTGCTCGAGAGACTCTTCGAACAGTTCATTATTCACACCCAGGCCTCCCGGATGTTCGACAGGTGACAGCGGATTTTTGACCACTAATAATGATAAAATCGTCAGAAATAGCTAGGACAACATTGAGGCTGACCCCGAATCACTTACCATACTCAACGTAGAGATTGATATAAATCTGCTGTAAAGCAACTCGCATGCTCGGGCTCTTGACATCTGTGAGCATGACAAACTTGATATTCGTGGGAGTTTCGTAGTAATGAAGCCTGTACTGGCTGGTGCGATAGGTGACGAAGCTAGGTGTACAGGTATTCGTCAACTACGAGTTCAGACCTCGATAGAAGCAACTCAATAGCTATATTCTCACCTGTCATCCTCGCCTCCTAACTTGCGCACCATGTTTCGAAGGGAAAAAACAGTACCGAAAATGAGCTTCGCGTCGTCGTCGGTCGTCCGCGCAGATTGGCCGAAAACAGAGGGGCCACCATTCTGAGTAGCGACTTCAGAAGTCGGTCGTGACGATTTACCGACTATCGAGGCCGGACGGGGCAGCCATCGCCTCTTATAGATACACTCGGCTGGAAGCGTGCAAAGGGGCAGATCAGCTATTGTGTTTGTTTACAATAGAAAAGGGAGATTATTACCGTGGCGGTCGAAGATATAGAACGAATAGACGACCATTTCACCAGATGAATATCGACAAGACAGCCAGAATGCGACAGAGCAAGAAAATACAGCAGATCTCAAGCCGTGAAAAATTAACTCGACGACGACGGTGATGAGTAACAATAAGAGCGGTTCAATTAGGCTCGTCGAGACAAGAATGCTCGTGGGCGGTGAGAAACCACTTCCCCCCCACTTCTCGAAGTGGTGTCAACTCACTACCCCTTTCGCTCCCTCTTCGCACTTAAATAATATCATCATATTTACTCCGTACTGTGGAACAAGGCAGTCCGATGGGCGATATTTAGCAATTTGGCCACATTTCTTCTCCTTTGTGGTTCTTTAGTTACTCTCGTTGCAGTCCTTTTTTGACCTGTTATCGGAACTTCGACTCTTCCCCGATATTCCCCACATTCGGCTTGGGCATCCAGGTTTATTATCGGTGCAATAATACTCAGCATTTCACCCTTGAAGGAATACAATTCTGCAAGACGTAATTCATTCCCATTCGATTGGCTTCTGAACGCTTTGAGAGATTCATTCGATGGCCGACGAAACTGCTGAACCCAAGCACGATGATATTCTCAACGCTATGAATGAACTTCCCAAGCCCAGACCAAGCCGTTACGCGTGAGTCGAACTATACACCCCTCCCAGCTTCGTCATTCATCCTTAGATGTCACTGCGCTCGATTATCCTGCATATCTCCTCAATTCAATTTGCAAGTGTTCATTGCTGAATGGATCTTGGGATTAGCTCCACGCCTTCCTCTGAAAGCCCGCAGAGGCACTATCGCCGAAATCCGAGAGTCCGACGTCCAGTGAAGGTTATCATCATTCGATCACTTTGTCGCTGCGCGCGATATGACTAATTCATTGGAGGCAGGAAACCCTGAATGCTCGCTCCGAGTATACCACGAGCCAAGATGATGGGACTGCTGAACACAGGATCAATCAATATGTCATAAAGCAGGAGATTGGCAGAGGGTCCTTCGGTGCAGTTCACCTCGCAGTAGATCAATATGGGAATGAATTTGTAAGGCGACTATCCTTCCGATACGTAAGCCGGTTTGCTGTATATGGGATGAATGCTATGCTAACAGAATGTCTTTCCCCAGGCCGTCAAGGAGTTCTCTAAATCACGACTAAGGAAACGCGCCCAATCACATCTTCTCCGCAGACCTCGAGGCCGCAAACGACTATCAGATGGCTTCAATTCTCCTCTACATCGGCATCTGTCGGGGAATGAGGACGAGCACAGCAAGAACCCGCTTTATCTCATTAAGGAAGAGATCGCCATCATGAAGAAGCTGAATCACAACAATCTGGTGTCTTTGATTGAAGTTTTAGATGACCCAACAGAGGACTCCCTATATATGGTGATGGAAATGTGTAAAAAGGGAGTGATCATGAAGGTTGGACTGGAAGAAAGGGCCGACCCTTACAGCGATGAACAGTGTCGCTGCTGGTTCCGCGACTTGATTTTGGGAATTGAATATTTACATGGCCAGGGTATCGTGCATCGAGATATCAAACCAGATAACTGTCTCCTGACGAATGATGACGTTCTCAAGATTGTTGATTTTGGAGTATCCGAGATGTTTGAGAAGGATTCGGATATGTTCACAGCCAAATCGGCTGGCTCGCCTGCCTTTCTTCCGCCGGAGCTATGTGTGGTAAAGCATGGTGATGTCTCGGGAAGAGCAGCAGACATCTGGTCTATGGGTGTTACTCTCTACTGCCTTCGTTATGGGAGGCTGCCATTTGAGAAGCAAAGCATCTTCGAACTCTATGAAGCCATCAAAAACGACCCCGTTGTATGCGAAGAGGAAACGGATGATAACTTCAAAGACTTGATATTACGGATACTGGAGAAGGATCCGAGCAAAAGGATCACAATGAGAGAGTTGCGAGTGAGTTATTTCCTGCTGTATATCTACAGCAACACGTTTCTCATGGAATAGTCCAGGCGCATCCCTGGGTGACAAGAAAGGGTTCCGACCTTCTCTTGCCTGAGGAGGAGAATATTGCGCAGATAGTGGAGCCCCCAACTGAGGAGGAAATGAATAGCGCTATAACAAGGAATGTGGGCCACATTATGGCTGTAGTATGTCTTTGTGCCCTGATGCTACTCTATCTTCCCACGGAATCAACTGACATAAAAGCTACAGATGAAAGCCGCGAAACGTTTCAAACGGCTTCTAGCTCCGGCTAAAGCCGAGCCGGTGATGCAAAGTATACTTGGCCAGGAGTATGAGAGCCATTTCGTGGAGCCGCCGCTCGAGATGGACCCGGGAGAGAGCTTCTCGGCCAGTGATATCCACATGGGTAACAAAAGCCAGAGTGTAACTTCATATAACAGAGAGCCCCAGGAACGTGAGAACGTTCTGAAAGGCTATCATCAAAAGCGCGAAAAATCACCCGAAAATAGTGATTCAGCCAGCAAGTATACTACCCAACAAGACCCTGTGCTAGGCAGCTCAACCAAACATTCTGTGGGCATCGCACCGGAGAGACAAAATTCAGGCTCTATCTCCAGTTACAAACTTCGGACCAACTTGGTCGACGATCTACAGACGACTTTCTTTCCTCAGTCCCCTTCCCCCCAGAAAACGCTGTCACGGGCCAGTTCGGCTACAACAAAGCGCAGCGTCGAGGGGACCAGGGGCCACGCACGGGATCCTTTAGAAGAGGTATTCCCATACCTCTTTATTGGCCCATCCACCTACACTGGGTCGGTTCAGGAAGGAGAGCATGATACCGATATGGAGCGCAACCCCTACCAATCGGAAACCCTATTGTCAGCCGAGCCCCTAGAGACGAGTCTAGCAGGAAATGAGGCTATCCCTATAGTGAGCGAGTCACCAGGTGCTGCTGAATTCGACATTTATGAAACAGCGTATCGACAGGAGATTGCTCGAATCCGTAAACTCACTCTGGCTCGTGAAGGTACTCTTCCCAAAGTGTACTTAACTCGGCGTGTTGAAGATAAACACGAGGTCTTAAGGCTTGTCGAGCACGGATCTCTTGGGACGAACCAGGAAACCGCCGCTTGCGAAGCAGATGCGGTTATTGGTGAGAAGACCACGGCGCCGTCCAGCCCGCGCTCTGGAGTGAGCATGATAAAAACTCAGCTGGATGAGCAGCTCAAGTTAGACGCAAATGGAGCCCTTGCTCGAAACCTGCTGTCTGCACCTGCCACCACGGCAGATCGCGAGCCTGAAATCTCGCCACTCGCTGCCACTGAATCGAATGCTACGAGAGGCTCGTTGACATCGTCACCGAAAAACGCCAAAACCAAGTTGAAGAACCTCTTCGATCGTGTCAGGGGCAATAACAGTCGTGAGAATATCGAAGATTGAGTTGTTGAAGCCGACCACAATTGGCACCGTCGGAAGGTTGTACTTCGATGTGGTGCTCCAGGATATTTCTCTACCCCTATTATTTTCGTTGAGATGAATGATCTATTGCCGGACATATGACCTGTAGCTATCAACCTCTAAGGTATGCACAGAATCTTCACATAAATAGTGTTACCAGTTTAGTCTCTGAAAAGTATACAAACGCTCAAAAGGACATGGTTCGACATAAGACATGTGAATATGCCTAGGATGTTGACATTAGTTATTAATACATACAAGGGCATCAGACCCATCCGGGTGAGCACGTAAGACCTCCCACGAAAGAGAAAAGGGGGAATGAAAAATAGATAACACAAAGAATGGAGGATGAGGAAAAGGAGGAACGATGATGAAAGGCAATAAACAACATGAGAGATGGGGGTAATATGCAGCCGTAGTCGTAAACCAATTGATCGTAAACGTTGAGTTTTGAATGCAAAGACATGGGAGAGGCTATAGGGGGAAACAAGATATGCAATAATGATCGCAGACGTTGTCGTAGGAACTTGGCGCGTTCAACATGGCCACGTACAAATAGGACGGATTTCGAATGAAACGAAGTATGTTCAAGGCTGAGGCTGAGGCTTGGCCTATCTTGCTTCTGCCGCGTGAGACTGTGAGTATCGTGCTGCGCATATTCATTCGTCGGAGTTGGATAAGTCAGAGAACATCTGTCAGAGAAAGTGATGGGACTGTGTGTTGCTTCCGCTGCTCGACGCGCGGACGTATCAACTTGGTGGTTTGAGGAAGATTGCCGATCGTGAGCAATCGGAATTCGTCGAAAAAGAAAACAACACACGGACTGGTAAAGAAAAAAGCGAAGATTGCATCAAATATGCCGTTAGTCGTAGCTCTCTTCGCAAGTCGTCTTCTTCAACTGGTTCGTGATGAGTGAGAACCAATGCTATCTATCGCTCAAAACTGAAGAGTTTGTATCGTTCATCGTGAGCCACCATGGCTTTTAAAGGAAAGAGGGTGCATAAATGGTTACAACAAGAAAAGGGAGAAAGGTACGAAAGAGAAAGAGAGAGACAAGACCTTCCTGCACTTCTTCTTTAGCCAGATGATGTCACTCGGGTCTTCTTTCGGCTGAAGTGGCAGCAGGTACTTCAGGAGTAGACAATGAGGACCTTTCTGGCCGTCTGCTCACAGGATCGGTCAGGATATGTCGACTGCTGTCTCCAAAGGAGAACCTTTCCGACGGTCGAGGCTCAAATGGTCGCTCCCCGGGATCTATTCGCGCGACCGGCTCTGCGTGGCTCAGTTGCAGCGGTTGGGGTGAAGGTAGAGTCTGCCGTGGGTCGGTCAGTCTTGGAAGCTCTCTCAGTGTCGGTACCGGGTCACGAGTCGGTACCCCTCTTGCTCGTCCGTCGTCGATGGGTGCCATGAGCGCGACTGCCCTCCCAGGCGGCGGTGCATAGCGCAGCTCCTGGTTCTGGACTTCCACTGGCCGGATACTCGCTTGAGGTGTTAACGAAGTTTTTGAAGACATCACTCCCAGTGGGCTGGCTGGTGTTGAAGGAGCTTTCAGCCTATGAGATCCCGACCTACGGGGAGGAGGGTATGCTTCGCCTCGCGCCTCCGCAGCCGCTTTGCGTCGCTCCGCTTCGGCTTTGCTTGGCCGGCCTCGTTTCCGGGGCGGTTCGCCTTTGGTTGTAATACTTTCCAAACTCGGGGAAAGGAGCGCAGAAGCGCTGCTCTCGCTACTGTAAGAGGCCGTGCTGGCAGCTGGCCGGGGCTGGATAGCGCGTGGGGCAAGAGGCGGTTTGTCCAAGAGGAAAAGCGGCCGCTTTCGCATGTGACTGCCCTCGGATGGAACTGCTGGCGGTGCAGACAACTCATGACGGGGCGGTGGAAATGATACCACGCCCTGATTGACAGGGAGAGAGATCTGTGGCTGGGGCGGCGGCGGCTGCTGCTGCTGCTGCTGCTCTTGGCACATATTGTGAAAAGCGAATTGACAGGAATTCAGGGAACGGCCTGGACCAGAGTAGATTAGCAGAAGCCAGGCCGAACTATCCACTCTGATCTTGACGAAACCTCGATTCAGTGCAAATACGACATGTTACGTACGCACCCGAAAGACGAAAACAACATGAGAGAAGTAGAGGGCCGGCATATCTGTACCTGTTGGAAGAGGAATATCCGTCCAGCTTGGGATGATATGGAAATCTTTTATCATTTTGACCAGATGGCTGGAAGGGACTCCTGCCTTCTTGAGAATCTCAGTAAGTAGAGCGTACTGGAAACATAGTCAGTATAACAGAATGTGACAACATTGGAAACCCCATGGAGGGTCTTGATGAATGCTTGATGATGGAAGGAGTGTTGTCTTACCCTCTCCTCTTCGGTCCATGGCCTTTCCGATATATTCGACATATCCCATTGATCATGGAAGCGACTCTAGCTGGCTTCCTTCCCTCCCAATCCGTCAACAAACGAAGCCAGGATAATGTTCACTTCAGTGCAAGTGGAGCCCAACCTAAAAAACGGCGCGATGCGCGACTACGGGTTCAACGGTTTCGAGAGAAACAGCAAACCGAACACGAAAAAGCAAAAAAGAAGTAAGAGAGATACCAACAGGAAACCAATCTAGAAGATGACAGAAGTAAAACAACCACAAAGCCTCCCAAGCGGAACAATGCGTCTATAGGGGCGTAAGTACAAAGAAGCACGTGGATTTTCCAGAACCAAATCAGGAGCTAGGCTAAGAGGGTAGCGAATGCCGACAAAGGAAACTGCAGAAAGCGATGAAGATCAAGAATAGCGGAGGATGGACATAGGTCGGTACTTCGAATAGAAGGCATGAAGTTCGGGCTCGCATCCGCAGATAGATTGGACAGATCTCGATATATGAGGCGACGGCTGAAAGACGCAAGGAGCAAAGGATATTCGAGGGATCCTCGACACAAAGGCAGAGTGGCAAATTGGGATGCTAGATATATCGCCAGTCGCAGCGAGAATGGTCCAATTCGCTGGATTTGGGGAAGAAATTATGGAAAACGAACGTCAAGAAATAAAAGAAGGACGATCGATAATGACAGCAACGACCGCGACAGCGACAACAAAACAATGGGTTTGAACCGTGCTGTGGCCACCAGATAGGAGATGTCAAGAGGACCTATCGTCGTCGACGATCGACTGGATATCTGGAACAAAACAGTCTCAATGATGCATGTCGTACCAAGGACGAGTAGTTTCAATCAGAGAATAACGAAATATGACAGGGAAAAGTAAAAGAATGGGAAAAAGGGGGGGATGGGACGAAAGAAAGTCAATCAGATAGCAGGAAGCAGACAAAAATAAATCAGTCTGATTTATTTCTGCCCCGGGAATATTTTCTGACCAAACGGACTTTTCATTCGGGACAGCGCAGAAAGACAGTGCAGATGCACCAGCATGCGGCCGGTTAGCAGTAAGGAAAGCTGCAGGGACTCTTTTCTCTCTTAGTTTTCCTGCGCTTGTCCTCTGAAAAGCGGCGGGATGGAGCCACAGTAGGTAGATAGATAGTGACCAAGAGAACTTTCCGGACCAGCGAAATTAAAGCATATCTAATGTTTGCGGGACCAGCCAGCCTGGGGTGGATAGAATTGAACCATACTCTACCTAGAAGAGCATAGTGTTTCAGAAACGACTGTTTCAGATGATTCCAAGCGTCTAAACTGTCGCAAGAGCGGAGAGGACGACGCCATGGGATACATGAATGTGCAGCGCACCAGACGTGGCCCCTCTGCTTCCTGCTCCGAATGAGACTAGGATTATCACGGGAAAGGGACGTATAAAGTCATCCACTCTTTGAACGCACAGCGATCAAAGGGCGACAAGAACCTGGACGGTTTAGGAAGAGAGCAGGGGTAGAAACGGCCAGCCAGACCCGCAATGAAGGCGCGATGCAACAGCAGCCTCAGCCTACTGCTGTACTCCCGCACCACGGCGCGGCAAAGTAAAAGGAAAAGAACGATACACAAAAGGCAGTAGAAGGGAAACGGAAGCAATACAATTTGACTAAGAAAAAGAAGGAGAACTGGCATGAGAAAAAAGAATCATGTCAAATAGAAAGAAAACTGGAGGGAAAGCTCAACCGTCCCACTTTTAGCCAGACAGGTGCCATGACTTGGAGCAAAGGATTCTAGTAAGAGAGCAGCGCGTTCCAGCCATGAGTATCATGGACGCTAGACAATGATTGATAGGTGGACATTGCGCCCCAGGACATTGGGTCAACGGACTAGAATCGATAGGTTGTTCAGGACTGGAAGCTTGAGGAGCGAGGTTCGGGGGCTAGTTCCCAGCTTGCAGGAAGTAGCGCGGTCGATCCATCCCGAAAGACAGCACCCCATCGCCCCGTAACAGTATGTTGTGCTCCGTCGAGCGCTCCATGATAATCTAGTAGCTGTAACGGAACCTGGCCAAGAAAGCAAACAATGTATGCGCTGTGTATCGATTCAATTGAGGATTGCGGTATCTCCAAGCCATTATGGCATACTGGAAACAAACCACCTAGAAACCAGCATACCAGGCAACGAACGGAGTGAATTTAGGTCAGGATGGTGAAATCGACGCTCGAAGCAGAAGTGGGGTAGATCCTCTTGACTGGAGTAGTAATTCGGGAGGTTGGGACGGATACGAAAGATGGATATTGATGGCGTACTGCAAGAATCGACCCGACATTTGAGCACAGCAATCCATCGGAACCTGTAATCGATCAGAAGAGTGAGATTCAATACAATGGCCCACATTGGTTACTGTGTTAGCAAGCTTAGGAGCATGCATAAAATGTAGAGTGTGAAATTATCACAAATAATCATAATAAATAGCAGAATAAGCGGGCAAATGAGAATGAAAGAAAAGCACCAATACTAAGGTACCTATGAGACGAGGAAAAGAATTCCCAATAAAGGAACAAGGTCAAGGAGACACAATGACTCAGGCCTTGGTCGAACGCTGTCATATCGAGTGAAATT